AGAGAGAGAGAGAGAGGAGTGATCAAATAAAAACCGCCCTCATTTATGTAAACCGTGCAAACCACCTTCATTCGTCGATTTCATTGTTTAATCTTATGAAATTTTTTCATGAAATTGTTTAATCTTGTGAAATTGTTTCATATAATACTTTTTTTGATCAAGTTGTTTCATATATGGTTGTGAAATTGTTTCATATAATACTTAATGAAACTGTTTCATGTATTTCTCTAAAATTAATGAAACTGTTTCATGTATTTCTCTAAAAATTAAAATAACGAAGATGATAATATCTATGATTAACACCCTCCACAATAAAAATGATTAATCAACCTCTCATAATTACAAAAAAATGAACAAAATGAAAAATTATGATTGGTTGAATGAGGTTTGTACAAATTGAGTGGTTTGCATTTGATCGCTCCCCGATATATATATATATATATATATCAATTGAACAAATAAAGATAAATTTGAAGATAAGGGTAGATAAATGTAGTTGAATGTAATTTAAGGTACTGAAAATAGTTGAAGATAATTAAGTTTATTAGAAAGTCAACTCATATGACGGTTCAAAAGTGTTTTTACTATTATCACCATAACTATTATTCTTACACGATCCTTCATCCATATGTATATAAGTACTAAAATTATTAATTTTCTAATTTATCATTTGATTTTTGGTTAAGATTAGATCTCACGGTTATCACAAATTACTGAGTTCTTCTTTGAATAGCCCCCATATATACACACACATATATATAGGCAGAGATACAAACGAGAACACCCATGTTTTACAAAAATTGGAGAACACTGTTAGGCTACCAAATTAATAAATACATAATAAAAATTAAAATAAATCAGTATTTGTCAATAATTTTCTGTTATATTATATTTGTCTCTATATGTTGCCACTATCATTGAAGACTTCTTATGTCGATATCTCCATTATTGATAATGATGTGATAATGCTTTGTTAAATCAAATACTTCTTATGATATGATTTTGTTGTGATAATGATATGATTTTACAGTGATTATAGATTAATACGAAACAACGTGATTTTCTTTAATTATTTAGTTTCATTTCCTTAATTTTAATTATGAGTTAAATAATTTATAGGTCCGTCATATTTTGGTAAAACGAGAACGTTGTCATTTGAATCTCTCCGTATATATACGATTGATTCTTTAATAAATGTGACAATTTCTTTTGCATGTACAAATTATTTCTTGTACATTTGAATTTATTACATATCTTTTTGTGACATGAACCACCAAATGCTTTTTCACTTGTTTAGAAACCATTAGGAGCCAATGAGTATCTCATTACTTTGCCTACCCCACCTCCACTCATACTCTTGGCAAAAATTACAAAAACGACCTCTGACAATATTGAACGTACACATTCAACCCTCTGTCGGATTTAACATGTTATGTCTAATTTAACGGAATTTTCAAGGACCGCTTTTGTATAAAAAAGCTAGTTCAAGTGCTATTATTGTAAGTTACAAAGATAAAACTAACAACGTCTCAAATAACTAGTTTTGTAATTTGCTTTGTTATAGTCGTTAATATTATATACAAATGTGTGTGACCATCGTTAGATATAATTCAGCTGGTACAAGAAAGAAGTTGAAAGAGGATGATCGGTAAAACGTGAAGTCAATGGTAAGGTCAAACCATGCTTCAAAACACATATTGTAATGTTCTATAGCTCATCATCATCTCATCAATATACCACCAAATTGTTTGTCTTATTTTGTTTTTTTAATAATATTTTCAATTAAAATGAAATATATATGGATGGTATTAATTTGTATTTGGAAAAAAAAAATTGGATATCAACTCTTCAGAACTTAGTAAACTCAACTTTATTAATGACGAGAATTAATTATTTGGGACAGACAGACTGGTAAAACAGCAGTAGCAACAGATACAATTGATTTATTTAGTTTATATCTAATGACATACAATTTGTTAAATGATTTTTTAAAAATGTGTTAATAATTAGTAGGCTTAATGTTAAATTTTTAATCTTTTTTCATTATAAAATGCTTGGTTGAATTAATATCTATATATATATACACTATATTATAAAGCATTTGATAAAAACTCTTAAAAACCATTTTTTATGCATGAAGTACTGTATATTGATACATATTACTTAAAATTCAAAATTACAAGTAAATTATGCACAAATACAACTTATTAAAGCTCTATGTTTGAATTCGTGTAACTAACTGTGGATAAACATAATCAAATAAAATATAAACATCTCATTTTAAAATATAAATAATCTAAAATATAATTTGTATAATCATCGAGTTCTAACAAAATAACTACTTATTATCTTTATAAGAAAATTATATTATTAAAACAAATATAAATTATTTCGTTATTGAACATAAATTAAATTATGATAAAAAATTGAATTAAAAATTACACAAAAAATGAGAAAATTTAAATAGTTAATTTGACACTAATATCGATATATTTTTGTCAAATTTTTATGATATCTTCAAATTAATATTTTATTAAAAAATAAAACATCAAGATGGATCTCGTTGCATTGTGCGAGTACTCTTTTAGTATATCTATACTATATTATAAAGCATTTGACAAAAACTTTTAAAACTATTTTTCTTATGCGTAACGTACTGTTTATTAATGCATATTACTTAAAACTCGAGATTGCAAGTAGATTATGTGTAACTAACTGCAGATAAACATAATCAAATACAAGATAAACATCTTATTTTAAATATAAAAAATTTAAAATATAATTAGGATAATCATTGAATCCTAACATAATACTTAAATATTATCTTTATAAAATTTATAATATTAAACCTAAATTAAGTTAATTCATTACATTAAATTAAATTATAATAAAAAATTAGAATTAAAAAAATAAACAAACAAGAACTTTTAATTAGATAATTTGATACTAATATTGATATATTTTTTACAAATTATATATGATATTTTTAAATTTATATTTTATTCAAAAATAAAAATATTATCGCTTTCTCAAAATCATATGAAATTGTTTTATATCGATATGGATAAAAAATAAAACGAAACATTGAAATGAAAATATATCTCGATACATTGGACAAGTGCCCGTTTAGTATATATAAAATAAGGAGAAAAAAAAAAGGTAGAGCACGTGATCCGAACGCACCGGATTAGAGATTGGGCTTAATATATCCCTTTCTTTCCTGCAGACAAGAAGGAAAAACAGTTTTGGTTGTCAAACAAACTCCTCTCTTCTAGTTTCAAGAATCATAAAATTGCAAAATAACCCCTGTAGTTTAGGTATAATCACAAAGGAAACCATTGAGTCTTTTATTTTCAATTGAATCATCATATCCTCTAATTGCAACAGCCAAGAAAGGGCGTATGTGAGATTTTCCTGAGCGATGAAAAACAACAAGATTTTTCATCTCAATTTGAATAGAATCGGTTCCAAATGCACAAGGTATTTAAGAAATTTCAAAACTGGAAACCGACTCGTGGACTCGACCTAACCTGACGGCACTCGACAACACCCACTGTTACGGGATAAGCCACTTGCGGTTTGTTTGGGTTATATTGTTAAGAGGGTTATATTCGTAAACACCTCTAAACCAGAAGGTTTTTGGGAAATTGGAAAGCAACAAAACCCCACCAGTTAACTCTGGTTAACTTTTGTCTGACCCTAGTCAAATCAAGCAAAACAATTATCCCTAATCTCAAAATCTTAATCACATTTTGGACCTTTTTGTTCTTAGTAAAAAAGACTTGTTGCCTTGCTTTTTAGAGCTCTACCATTTGACTTGCACCTTTACAAAGACTCTTCTTCCTCTCTGTCTCGCGATATATTCAAATTCTCATGATATTTTAATACACCCCCACCTGCAAGAAAAAAATTGAAATCTGCTCAGCTCATGACAGAGAATAAATAAAATGATATTTTAATAAATAAATAAATAAGAATTGGGTTTTTAAAACCAGTTTAAAAAGGGAAAAAGGATTGCTTCCTTTAAGATCTTTGTTGTTATGCTGGCTTCTGAAGATACAACAGAGTTTCTTCAGATCCGAAGAAAAAGGTAAGAAAGAAAATACAATTTTAAATCTTTTTTAACCCACACACAATCAGATAAAATTGAATTACACACACATAGTGTGTGTAAGAGTTGTACTAGCAATACAATATTATATATATATATATACATACACAGAGAGAGAGAGAGAGAGAGAGAGATATAGAGATGTATCTGTGTATAAAGCTTGGACTTTTTGTAGTGATCCAAAAGAGAGTCCTAGAGAGAGAAGGAAAAGAAAAAGAGGAGAGAGAAAAGCATTGAATGAATCTTTTTCTTGTGAAATCTTTGTTGTGGCCTGTGGGTTTGAATGCATGAGTGTGTGGGTTTTTTCTTTAGTGGGGGAGTTGATGATGGACTTGTTCTTGACTGTGGTGAATATTCTATCACGATATTGACCAGGAAAAGGGCAAGAAATCGCTTAATTGTTGTGGGTTTTCCCCTTTTTTATCTGTGAATTAGCCTTCTATTCCTTACGTTTTTTGGGTAAAAAGTTTTGATCTTTAAACTCGAGAAAGATTAGGGTTTCTGAAATTCGAGATTTTGTGCCCTAAAATTTGCTTGAAAGCCGTGAATTTGGGATGCGAGATGTGATTTCAAGAAGACAATGAGAGTCTACTTTGAAGATTGGTTCTATTGATTCTCTGTTCATGCAATTTTTAAGGTTTATCCTGGGATTATCTGGAGATTTTGAGAGGTAAGCAAGACAAAATTCCAGCTTTATTAAATTCAATTTATGGTTTTTTTGATTGTATGTTGTTTGATTAGTCTCTTTTAATGTTCATAATATTTGATTACAGCATTTACGCTGAACTCGAGCATTAAAAAAGAAGAGGGGTTATAAATTCACCATATGAACTGAAGAGTTCTTTTGGGAATTTATAGAGGCTTAAAAATTCTTGATTGGGAAAAAAATATGATTACTTTTATGGATTCAAAAGAGAAATTGAAAGAAACTGAGAGATGCTTAGATTCTCAGTTATGGCATGCTTGTGCCGGCAGCATGATTCAAATGCCGCCGGTGAACTCGAAAGTGTTTTATTTTCCCCAAGGACATGCGGAGCATGCCACCGGAAATGTGGAATTCAGGGACCGGAACGGTCAGTCAAGGGTTCCGGCATGGATCCCTTGTCGAGTTGCTGCTGTTAAGTTCATGGCGGATTTGGATACCGATGAGGTCTATGCCAAAATCAGGTTGATTCCGGTGAGTGGATCCGGCGAATTTAGTTGTTTTGATGATGAAGACACAGGTTCTCAGAATGGAGGATCATCGGACGGCCAGGTTAAACCGACATCGTTTGCGAAGACATTGACACAATCCGATGCCAATAACGGTGGCGGGTTTTCCGTTCCGAGGTATTGCGCCGAGACGATATTCCCACGGCTCGATTACTCGGCGGACCCACCAGTACAAACCATTCTGGCCAAAGACGTTCACGGCGACACCTGGAAGTTCCGGCACATCTACCGAGGGACTCCACGGCGACATTTACTGACCACTGGATGGAGTACATTTGTGAACCACAAGAAGCTTGTGGCTGGAGATTCAATCGTCTTTCTAAGGGCGGAAAATGGTGATCTCTGTGTAGGAATCCGACGAGCCAAGAGGGGGATCGGTGGCGGTCAGGAAACTTCATCCGGTTGGAATCCGGCAGGTGGCAACTGTGTCATTCCATATGGCGGTTATTCGCCATTGATGAGAAATGGGAGCGGTGGCGGCGGCGGCAGCGGCGGTGGGAATACGACGGGGAAGGTGAAAGTAGAAGCTGATTCTGTGGTTCAAGCAGTGAAACAAGCGACAAATGGGCAGCCGTTTGAGGTCGTGTTCTACCCAAGGGCTAGCACGCCGGAGTTTTGTGTCAAGGCGTCGCTGGTGAAGAACGCAATGCAGATCCGGTGGTCACCGGGGATGAGGTTTAAGATGCCGTTTGAAACAGAGGATTCGTCGAGAATCAGTTGGTTCATGGGAACGATCTCTTCGATCCAGGTTGCTGATCCTATTCGTTGGCCTGATTCCCCCTGGAGACTATTGCAGGTACCATTGGAACTCGGCTTGTTTATTTTAGTGTTTCGAGCATTTAATTATGATTACGATTTTTATGAGAGTTGTTCAATTACGATTCAGGTGACATGGGATGAGCCCGATTTGCTTCAAAACGTGAAGCATGTGAACCCATGGCTCGTAGAATTAGTATCGACCATGCCTGCGATTCATATGTCGCCTTTCTCACCACCCCGAAAGAAATGTAGGCCGTCCCAACACCCTGATTACCCCATGGACACCCAAATACCCATCCCGATTCCCGGCCTGTGCGGACCCCACTCGCACCTCTTTGGTGGGCCCACCACCGGACCTTTCGGCTACCATATCCCGGAGAATTTGAACCCTCATCATCCTGCTAGCATGCAGGGAGCCAGGCACACTCGTTATGGTTTATCTCTCTCAGATATCCAACTCAATAACAAACTGAATTCAGGTTTTTCCCCGACCACCACGAAACCCTCCCACATCCACCCATTCTTGAACAAACCGGCTATATCTGAGCCTGTTTCCTGTCTGTTAACCATCGGGAACTCAACCACGGCCTCAAAAGAAGCCGAAACCCCCAAAACGTCCCAGTTCCTGCTTTTTGGTCAGCCAATTCTTACAGAGCAACAGATCTCCGAAAGAGGGCATGTCTCAGGGTCCGGGTCCGGATCTGGATCCGGATCCGGGTCTGGACAAAACCACCACCGGGAAAGCGAATTGAACTTAGAGACAGGACATTGCAAGGTATTCATGGAATCAGAAGATGTGGGCCGTACCCTCGACCTCTCTCTACTCAATTCATACGAAGAACTATGCAAAAAACTAGCAATCATGTTCAAAATCGAAAGCTCGACAATGGTGAACCGTGTTCATTATTGGGATGTCACCGGAAGCCTAAAGCACATCGGAGACGAACCATACGGGTAAGATGAAGACTCCGAGCTTAGGTTACCATTTTACGTATTAGTTTTAGTTTCACAATCTCACCACTTTGATTCGTATGTGTTGTTGGTACAGAGAGTTTGCGAAAACAGCAAGACGGTTGACGATCGTAACGGATCCAAGCAGTAGCGAAAACAACGTTAATGGTTCATGAAGAATATGTAGAGAATGATGTGTTTGGTTTTGGTTTTGGTTTTGATTTGGACCATGTTTTTGGTTTAGTATCTGAAATGAAAGTGGTAACTTCTGCAGCGATTTTGTTGCTGGGGTACTTTTGTTTTTGTTTGATGTTGTTAAGGTTGCGAATTTAAATCATATTTAAATTGATTGTGTGTTGTGTTGTGTTGTAAAAATAAGAAAAAAAGAAAAAGAAAAAAGGAATTAATTTAGTGTGTTAAAAAGTGGTTGTTGAAGGAAGAATTGAATTTAATTAATGGAAAAGAAAAGGTGGATATTTCGTGCACGCTTGGGAAAAGCAGGAAAAAGCCAAAAAAGGAATTTCATAATAATAAATAAATAAACGGTCTGACCACTCTCTAATCAACCATTAGCTACTACCCATTCACCTCACTAAACATAATATAACATCATATCATATCATATGTTTTTTTAAATTCATATTATATATATATATAATATACCTTTATGAATATAAAAAATAAGTCTTGATGTTAAAAAGTGTAGAAACTGTTTTTTAGAGTACTTAAAGTGGGATTAATTTATTTATGTGTTTTCAGTTATTATTAATATTAGTAAATAGTAAAAATAGGAATGGATTATTTGAAGAGTCGCAACATCACGAAGCACAAAGTCAACAAAAAAGCTGTAATTATAAAGAAATTAAGGGACACACACGTGAAAGGTGACAAGAAACTAGAAGAGGTTCACGTGTGGGATGCGTCAGCCGACGTCATCCGTATATTTTTGTTTTTGTAAACTTAATATTTAGATATTAATAAATAAATAAATAAATAATTAGTAATATATATGGAGTTGGAGTAGAATGGAGTGTTGGTGAATAATAAAAAAGAGGGGACAAAAAGTAGGAGTTGAATAGAGCATGAGTTGGATCACGTGCATTTCTCCAAACAACGTTTCATCTACGGACCCATAATTTATATATATATATATATATGTTTCTCTCTTTTATTTACTTTTTTATCCACCATTAAATTAATTAATACCTACATAACACACCATCTTTTTTCATAAAAGTTGATTATCAATAAATCCAACCAGTTTTATATGAACATATCTTTAAAAGGACCAATTTAAAAGTAAGATAAAACTGGGTTATTTGATGAAAATATGATTGAACTCATGACCTTTCTTGTAATTGAACACAATATATATTATTTATAATGTTGAAAAAGATGTTTTATTTATATAATTAATTAGAGAAATTAAGAGCAAGGAAAGAATCAATACCCATTTCCAAAGCCCCTACCTTTGTTTTCCTACACTAATATTAATACCACTCTCTTCTTTTTCTGTTGAAACAAACACCATTCTTTGTTTTCAGCACCCACCAAACAATAAGTCCCACAATACATGCCATAGTTTCTACCCATGCTCACTTATTACGATTACTATATCTTAATCACTAATACATGTATATGTCTGTCTATATGATGTTGTGTGCATATGGATATGTCTACATGAACTTATTTTTTTAATACAATAAACACATCATGATACCTCATCTGTTTTTTACTCAATAGATTAACAGGCGTAATAAAATATTAAAAATCTATGATTATTATCCATAATTAGGATGATATCAGAGAATTTTCCGAAGCTAGGGGGCATCACTATAAGCATGTCACACAAATGAGTAAGACTGCATAATATTCGTTTGTTCAGTAGAGTTGGAGGTTTTTATTTTAAGAAGAAACTTGACTGATTTATTTTGCATAAAAAAACATCAGGCATAATAAGTGGCACAAAAATGGATCAAAACAAAATATCAAGTGTAAGATCCAATTCATGTTGGTTTCTCGAGATTTGTCCGCCTTTAACTAAAATTTACCTTAAAAAATTCCAAATAACTTATTGCTTGATCTATTTATTAAATGGTTTGTTAAAGTAAATCATAGATAATTTAATGAAGACATTATTTTCCAACAAAAACTTTAATTGAATAAATTATGAAAAAAAGGCCAAAAATTGATTGTTATGAAAAATGAGTGGCCTTTTTTGAAAGATCCAAAGTTGTGTCCCACCGCCAACACCAAAAGTGGCCACTATCCCCATTTCATTTAATTCACGGTATGGTTCCTTTGTCCTTCCTCCTCCACCTTTCACTTTTTCTAATTTTACCCCAATAGTTTTTTAAATTACTTTTCTTAACCCGTTTTCTTTTTTTCTTTTTCGCAAAATATCACTTACAATTATAATAATTTTTCCAATTTTACCCCAACATTTTTTTAATTACTTTTCTTAAACCGTTTTCCTTTTTTCTTTTTCACGAAATATCACTTATATAAAATGATATAAGAGTTAGGAGATTTTTTTACCTGACTGCTGTATCTTTTACAAATACTTTATTTATTAAATCAAGTGTAAATATGTTGAAAATATATATACATGAGGTGTAACAAGTACATAAACTTTATGATTTCGTGTCTAAAATATCCTTTACGTAAAAGTATATGAGTTAAATAAAATATTTTGCTAATGTCTATCAGATATTCTTTAGAAAAAATTGGACCATATGTAAAAGGTAAAGCTTTAGTTTGTCATTGTTAGATTGATGCATACACTTAGTACTTTATTAAGTTGACAACTGACCAAGAACTTGACATACTTTTTGTAACACCCTGAAAGCCTAAATCAACGGACTGATCCAAAAACTTCGAATCCAACTTAAAACCATGGTGAAAATTATTGGTAGCCCACTATAAGGACTTATAGGAAACTAACTATTCTTACTTTATATCCATATGAGACGAGTTGTTACATTTTTCCTATGTTTTCACGTAACATGCTTTTTACTAGGATTTGTTGTTTTTTAGTTGTTGTTGTTAAGCTCTTTATCATTTATATTTACTTCTACTACAACATTGAGCAAAAAGCAACTCTAAGTTAAGCTTTCTTTTTCCTTGGTACATAAATTGACCACCAAAAAGTCCTAAACTACAATAAAAACATGTTACTGACGTAAATTTGAACAAGTACGACATTAAAGGCCACTCGAGAAAAAACGCACCATAAAAGTTGAGGAAAACAAGACAAATTTAGTTATCTTTTTCTCATTTCATTTTCACAAGACTTTAACTTTTTTTTATTATTATTTTGATTTTCCTTTAACCAGATCGATGAAACTTGTCTATTATTTAGTATATTAAATTTTTAGTTATCGTAGCGTCATATTCATTTGATCAATCTATTTCATGTTTTGATGACTTTTTCTCCACTTGTCTTATTATTTGGCAAAAATGACATAATCGATTTGGATTGATGTCAATGTGAACATTCACAAAGGACAAGTATGTCCAGAAAATATGAATTCTTGCTTGATCATGATGGATAAAGCATAAAACAATTAGGATGTTAACGATAAATAATTTTGACAAAACTAGAAAGGTACTCGCGCAATGTAGCGAGATAAATCTTGATTTTAATGTCTACTTTTTATTATTTGTCTCTATCGATATAAAACCATTTTATGTGGTTTTGAGAAAACGATAATGTTTTTTTTTAATAAATATAAATGTGACTATAGCATAAAAAATTGAAAAAAAATAAATCGATATTAGTATCAAATTAACTACTTAATAGTTCTTGGTTTTTTTTGGGGGGTTCTTTTAATTCAATTTTTATTATAATTTAATTTAGATTTGGTAATAAAGTAATTTATTTTTGGTTTGACAATATAATTTTTATAAAGATAATAATTAAACATTCTGTTAGAATTCAATGATTATCTTAATTATATTTTAAATTTTTTATATTTAAAATGAATGTTTATCTTGTATTTGATTATGTTTATCTGCAGTTAGTCACATGAATTTGAAGATGATGCTTTAATAAGTTGTATTTACATAAAATTACTTGTAATCTTGAATTTTAAGTAATATATATCAATAAATAGTATTTCATGTATAAAAAAAATGATTTTTAAAAGTTTTTATCAAATGTTTTATGATATAGTATATATAAATCAAAATATATTTTTTATGTTATGATATTAAATGAGATTTAAGTATGAAAAAAATATATTTGAATATAAGATTATAATAATATGATATTGTAAATCAATTAAAAAATTAGTTGTGTTTTTAATAATAAAAGGAGGTTTAAAATTATATATTTATCCATTGTAATTGAGAAAACATTATGGATGAATATGAAAAAGCGGAGTTGGTATTGTATTTGAAAATAGAGGGGGTTAAAGTGTAGTAAATGAATAGTGAGAGGGGGTAAAGTGTGTTTAGTAGATAAGTTGGAGGGGGTGGCAGTGGGCAGAGACCGTGCGATTGTGGGTCTTCATAATTGGCTCAAAACGACAGAGATACGCTGTGACGGAGCTCAGAGTGGCCTTTTGTGTTGATTCTATGTGGGCCCTCTTACTCCTACTAATGGGCCTCAACTCAACCGCAATCTCAACCGTTTATTTTATGCCACGTCCTTGTTTACTTCTCCGCACAAATATATAATATTTTTTATTAAAAATATTTTTTTTAAACATAATGTTTTTAGAATATCTCATTTTTTAAAATAAAATATTAAAAATAAAAATCTCAATAACAAAATTACATTCAACTTTAAAAGTTTTTA